CCATTCCCATTCCCAATGAAAAATAGCGTCGATGTAAAAACTCTACCGAAACATGCTCCGTTGGTTTGAACATGTAAAAAGAATGCCAGATGAAAGAATTACAAAATTGATATACAACGCGAAAGTGGAAAGATACAGAAGCCAAGGAAGGCCATAACATACTTTTCACGATGAAATCAATCGCATGTTTTTAAAAGGTAAAAGGTAAAGGTAAGCCATAAAAACCAGCGAGTATGAGTGAAAAGAGTAATGAAAGTGGATGAGGCGAAAAATGTATGTAATGACCGTACATTGTGGCGTTCGGTCTTCTCCACGTACCCCACCAAGGATACGGCGTGAATATATAGACATAGATAAAAATCTTGTATATACAAATCAAACGAGGCTAAATTTGACGGGTTGCGTCATTTCATTATCAACTTACCATGGCTATCTTCCTTTTCTATTATCAGACCTTAAATATTATTTCGGGCCAAAGCCATTGTTAAGACAAATCAAACTAATAACAACGTATTATTACTTCTATGGAAAAGTATATAACATTTTCCATTTAATAATATTTTAATAATATTTTAATAAATAAAACACGTTTTAGTAATCTGACAGCATCGTATTGACAGTCTATATTTTTATCGTCTAAATTTTCATTTTTACATTCATAAAAACAAAGAGGTCGGTTGATAAGAATGACATTATACAACCGCCACATTACCCCCCTACGGAGAAAAGGAAACCAAACAAAAATAAAATAAAATATTATTCTAAGAATTAAGAAAACGAACACGTCTACCGTATCTTGTTACATAACCTGAGGTTGAGTCAGAAGGTAGATTCTTATTTGCCTTTGAAGGATCCGCAAGAGCAAGTGGAGCATGTGTTTCAGTGCAAGGAAAACTTTCCAAATGAGCAGGCTTAACACGATCCAATGATACCTCAATTTGTTTACCATTTACATCAAGTGACGCAGTTTTTTCTTTAAGAGCGATGATGCGGTAAGGTCCAGTATAAGGTGGTACCAGTGAGCGTCGAATAGTATCATCACGCAAAAACACGTGAGTAGCGTTTTTTAGATCTTTGAAAATAAATGGAACTTGTGTAACATGACGAGATGCTGGAATAGGACGAAGTTTGATAATTTTATTTCGTAGCTGAACCACAAAATCAGTCAAATCAACGTTAGTATCAAATGAACCCGACCAAAATTCTCCAGGCAATCGAAGAGGTTCACCGTAGAGAAGCTCTGCGGAAGACATTTTCAAATCTTCCTTGAGAGATGTCCGCATACCAAGCAATACCAACGGGAGAGCTCTAAGCCATGAATCACTATGACACATCAAAGCAGCCTTAAGTTGTCGGTGAACTCTCTCAATCATTCCGTTGGCAGAAGGATGATAGCTGGTAGTTCTAATGCGTTTGGAACCGCAGAACACTAGAAGTCGATGAAACAAATCGGACTCGAATTGGCGGCCTTGGTCTGTTGTTATAATCGAGGGTACACCAAATCGAGAAATCCAGCCAAATACAAAAGTTTCTGCAACTTCTAAAGCACTTATACCAGACATGGGCCACACTTCTGCCCATCGCGTGAAACGATCGACTGCAGTGAGGCAATACTGGTAATGACCGACTATTGGAAGTGGACCTATAATATCTAAATGAATGTGTTTAAACCTAGCCGAAGGGCTAGAAAAAATACCAATTGGTGTAGCATTATGTCTAGTAACTTTGCTGCGTTGACAACGAATACAAGATCGAGCCCAAAGCTTACAGTCTTTATTAACACCAGGCCACACAAATCGGTCAGCTACAAGACGAGCTGTAACTCGACTACCGGGGTGGCTAAGATTATGAAGGTCGTCAAAAATCTTTCTGCGAAATTCAGATGTAACATATGGACGCGCTTTATTAGTAGAAGTGTCGCACAATAGAACAACATTCGAACCGGGTACGGTGACTTTCTCAAGTTTCAAACCAGTCTTTTTCGGATTGGCCAAGAAATCTTGAAGCTCATCGTCCTGTAATTGTGCCTGTGCTAAAGCAATAAAATCGTCTTCTAAAGAAATAGCTTCAACTCGAGACATAGTATCTGCCACAATGTTTTCAGCTCCCTTTATATAAACAACATCTGTTGTAAATTGGGAAATGAAAGACAGCTGATTAAGTTGAATAGGTGGTAATTTCTCACGTCTTTGGGAAAAAGCATAGATCAATGGCTTATGATCTGTATAAATAGTAACATGTTGTGCCTCTAATATATGACGGAAGTGCTGAATTGCCTCATAAACAGCTAAAAGCTCCCTGTAATACGCAGGCCAACCAGATTGGCGAGGTGTTAACTTCTTGCTAAAAAACGCCAAAGGTTGCCAACCATTTGAAACCAACTGTTGTAGGCATGCTCCTACATGAGAACTCGATGCATCCGTAAACAGACCTAGAGATTTGTTGGGAATTGGATGCATTAAAAGTGTTGCTTGTGAAAGACTTTCTTTACATTCTACAAAAACACGCTCTAACTCAGGTGTCCAGGGCATAGGTTTGTTACCGGTAAGTTTTGTATCAGTCAAGGCCTTTATTAATGGAGCTTGGGTTTTAGCTGCATGGGGTAGAAACCGACGATAAAAATTTAACATTCCTAAGAACCGTCTAACACCTTGGGCTGTTTTAGGTAAAGGATATTCTTGAAGAACAGTGATACGTTCTGGAGGAGGACGAGTTCCTTGTCTAGATATACGGTAACCAAGAAACGTTACCTCGTCAACCCCAAAAACACACTTTATTGGATTAATTACAACTCCATATTGATCCAGTCTTTGAAAAAGAATACGAAGATGCTGAAGGTGCTGTTCCTGACTTTGGGAATACACCAAAATGTCATCGACATATGGAAAACAAAAATCTAGGCCGAATGTGACTTCATCTATAAATCTTTGAAATGTTTGACCAGCGTTACGTAGACCGAACGTCATAAAGGGAAATTCGAAGAGACCAAATGGAGTAGTAATTGCAGTCTTGCAAATATCATCTTCAAAAGTAGGAATTTGTTGGTAAGCTTTTACCAAATCCAATGTTGAAAATATAGTGCAACCAGCAAGATTATGAGCAAAATCCCCTATATGACGAACGGGATAGCGGTCTGGTACAGTTCGAGCATTCAAAGCACGATAGTCACCACACGGACGCCAGGACAAATCTTTTTTAGGTGCCAAGTGTAAAGGCGAAGACCAAGGACTTTTAGAAGGTCTGGCTGTTCCACATCTTACCATATCTTCGAACTCCTTTTTTGCAATCATAAGTTTTTGAGGGGCAAGACGGCGAGGGCGACAAGAAACGGGTGGTCCGTCAGTTGTTTTTATATAATGCATAGTGTTATGCTTTATTTCCCGTGGAAAACCAGGAGGTCGTATAATAGAAGGAAAATCCAGTAAAAGTCGTTGATACGGTGAATCAGGTAAAACAGTGATAGCTTTTACACTAGACTGCGAACATGAAGCAATAAAGACAGTTGCAGAGAGTCCGGTCTTGCCATCCAATATTTTTTTATTTCTACAGTCTGGAAGTAAATGATAGTAAGCAAGAAAATCAGATCCAATTATTGCAGTACTGACATCCGCAACGACGAAACGCCAATGGAAATCGCGCTTTAGACCGAGATCTAACTTTAAATTAATTGTACCAAAAGTTTTAATAATACTACCGTTTGCTGCATTTAATTCATAGTTAGTCGGTAAACATCTGCTCTTCAATAGTTTTCTAGGATAACAACATATATCCGAACCAGTATCAACTAAAAAACGAACGTTAGAATTACGGTCGTTAATAAAAAGGCGGCGAGATGAAGTAAAACAATCAGCTGCCGCCGCTACTGATTGTTTGTCATGTTTTTCTGAGTCCACGAGCAAGGACTAACACATTTTAAAGCCTTGTCTTTAAAAATTTTGTGATACCAGCAAACGTGCAAAATTTGTGATTGTGACTGATTGCGCTGACCACGAACATTCATTAAAGTATCTACCTGATCAGCAATTTGATCAACTCTTTTTGCTAAATTAGATATTGTATTAGAAATTGACAATCCTGACGTTGCGTAAACCGATGGTGCGGAATCGGAGACATCCATTATACGATCAGCTAATTCGGCAATATTATTGAGTGATAAATCAGGTTGAGTTGTTAAAATTGCCTGAATGCTTTGTGGAAGAGCACGCAAAAATAAATGACGCAAAATCCTTTCATCGTTAAAAGATGTACCCGCTAGTGATTTTAAATATCGTAAAAATTGCGATGGTTTTTTATCACCCAATTCTGACTCGCTTAATAACTGATGGAAACGTTGTTCATCAGAGCAACTCAAGCGTCGAATAAGTTCCTTTTTTAATATGTCAAACCGTTGTTCTAAAGGTGGATTCGTAATTATATCCTCCACTTCAGCTGCTATACGAGAATCGAGTTGCGCAACTACATAACTATATTTTGTATTTTGTTCAGTAATCCCTGATATAGTAAACTGTGCCTCTACCTGAGCAAACCATACAGTAGGTTTATCTGCCCAAAAAGGAGGCAATTTAGCTGACACCTTATATATATTGCTCTCGAGAACAGCAGATGTGGAGGGTAAAGATTGGACAATAGAGTCGTTGTTAAGCCTGCCCTTAAGAGAAACATTCTCACTTAATATAGTTTGCACTTGAGATTGCAATACTTCCACCAGCCGTTGCAATTCTGTCAACTCTACTTCTTTACGCTCTGTCATGTTCGTTCACTTAAAAAATAAAATAAACATTAATAGTAAAATAAAAATAAAAATACTAACTTACATGAAAATTAGGTAGAGTGGCGGTAATATAGTGTCGTTAACTTCTATATATAAAATATATATATATTACTATTGTTATACATAAATACAAAGGACACGTAGTTTTATCTGTTGTTGTTGACTTGTTGTATCTCTTCTGACTTCAGAATGCGATAACTATAATGACGTCTCTTTGTTGGTCTTCAGTTTAAAATGTTGTAGACACAGAAACAGCATTAACTTTAGCAACGACGATCATCAATGAACGTGGAAATGGACTTCTTATTAATTCTCGCACCCATTTGAAATGTAGTATGTCTTGTTTTAGATACTTCGAAGCACGCCAATAAGTTGTATGGTTGTAACTTAACGGTATCTTTATATTAAACAATCTGGGGTCACCAATATGGAAAAGTATATAACATTTTCCATTTAATAATATTTTAATAATATTTTAATAAATAAAACACGTTTTAGTAATCTGACAGCATCGTATTGACAGTCTATATTTTTATCGTCTAAATTTTCATTTTTACATTCATAAAAACAAAGAGGTCGGTTGATAAGAATGACATTATACAACCGCCACACTTCGTATTATAGAGGCTCCATAACTACCTTCTGATTGTTGATAGTTTCAATATAATGATTATAACACTGTTTGTCTGAGTAATACTCGTACGTAACATTTACTTACGATGTCAACGCCCATTTTGCCATAAGTTGTGAGGTAAATTTATGAATCTCACCTAACTTGAATACCGTCAATGAACTGTAGCTCCTCCTCGGAGAAGTGCCGCCAACTGACATGAGCACTGGTATCGTTAAAATCTACCACAGTCAATTTGCTGTCAATCTCTCTACGCTTTTCTTCGACAGGCGTTACCTGAGGAGAAAACATTTTGATTATTATACGGATTTTCAATAGAAGAAAGAAAGAAAGAAAACATCTAATTAATGTAATTAAAAGAATAATTACATTAATTAGATGTTTTCTTTCTTTCTTCCTTACCATAAATTGAAGTAATGTAAATGTAACAAAAATAATACTCACAGTAGGTAAGTCTTGAGTTCGAACAGTATAGATTTCACTTTCAGGTTCCACAGGAAGGTTGTGAAGGTAAAGTTTGCCTCTTACTTTATACATTGTAGATGGTTTGAGACCCGTCAGTCTGAACTCTAACCGAGGCGTGCTGAGTACCTCGTCCGCTGGCGCAAATACTTGAGAGAACCAGTGGGAGACATCCTCGTCACTAAAAATTATTTGAGTAATGTAAATCAAGATTATTGGTTTTTACTTAAAATATAGTGTGTAATATGATTTTTGCGAGTTATGACTCATGACATGAGCATCAATTTAAAGTCAATACGAGATTCTAATAAGGAAGAACATACACTTAGCAGTAAAAAATAATCTCATAACCAAAAACACTGAAATTCATTAGGTAGTTATATAAGCTTATATTTGATCAATTTCGCATTTACAATGCTATACTGAAAAATATTCTTTATGAAAAATGATTAAAGTACCCATGACATGGGTTAATGTCATGGGTTTGAATCCCATGTCAGGCAGGGTTCCACGGACCAAGTGGATTTTTTAAGCATTTTTCATTAAGAATAATAATATACTCATTTTATTTTATTTATATTATAAATAGCATAAGCGTTTTTCTTCTTGTTTTATGTATGAAATTATTATAATTTAGAAAATACGTACGCTTTGTCAGTGTATCTTAAATCAACTCTTCCCCGCAGGCCGACTAATACCGGTGGCAAACCAAATAGCATCATTACGCTGGTAGGAGAATCCGCTTGTAGCGATATAACTGATAGCTTCTTATTGTTGTCACCGAAGGATGAAGGACCATGAATACCAGGCGACAAACCAGGTGGTAGACCAGGCAAGGTATTGACTGGTCTATGGATATTGTTTTGATCATAGTCAGATAGGTCTTCTTGAGGGAAATGAATCTCGGGGGGAATGGTTGGCAGAAAACTGGGCATGTGAGGTGGATTCGTTGTTAAGGCAGATTCTGGACTTTGACCTGTAATATTTTAAGATAATTAAAATTGTACTTCCTTCTGAAACGAGTTTATTTATTAGTTTTACTGTGAAGAAGCAGATAAGATAAATGTTACTTAATTAAGTATATAATTATATGAAATTATGAAACGGTAGTTAGTAACAAAACCCAAGTGAGATGAGTATAGTATTATAAATGTTAATAGCCGTCATAGTCAGTCAATCATTAAGTATCTATCATAAGGGTCAGGTCATAAAGTTTAGGTAAGAGTCTACATAAAGTAATAAACAGTTTCTAACACAGAGGCTGACCTGCCACATCTCGACTTTTATCTGCTGAACGTCCGAGATTTCTATTTACTTCTGACTCCACTTCCATTTGACTCAGAAGATGCTCTAGATCTAACGTTGAATAGGTTTTCTCTGCAATCCTGGGAGATTTTGATTCGCGATCATAGTTAGATAATATGTCTATTTTAGCATTTGGGACTGCGCGTAATAGAACTGTCTCGTAAGGATTAGGGGCTTTAGTCAGTAAGTGTGTTTTGGTAGTTTCGGTCCATAGTTGATTATTTTCTGCTGCTTTGAGTGATTTCAAATCTTTATTACGTAATATCGTAACATGTTTACTTCGAGACACTTGTATGGGTTCGCGAGCGATGCTATCATAAGTATGTGGTCGTTGCATACTTTTGGACGAACTTGGAGTAGTTTCATTTTCCACAATGGGCTTAAAAAGGCTCTGTGTCGATTTCAACGAAGCTATACGAGGAGTGGGTCTGAATTCATCATTAATATAAGAAAGAATTTCAGGCTTTCGTTCCATGATCGGTACAAAGTAATTGAAATGCTCCATTTCTGATATAGGGACTTTTATAATTTTTTCATGATCGTTTTTATAAACCGCCTTAGGTATATCCGAGGATTGTATTTCATGTGATGGATGAACTGCAGTTTGTTGTATCATATCGTGCATTTTACTATCAGACGGTACAAATGAGTTATGACGGTGAGAGTGACTTTGTATTATTTTGTCTACATGTACAGGAATTTTAATGGGTTCTACATGAATTGAGTCATGTGATTTTAATGAGGGTAAGTTCCAATTAGTGTCAGTAAAAGAAGAGTCTGGATAAATGTTTTTTACCGGCACGTTTGCGTCTTCTAATGCAAATACTGTGATATTGTCACCGTGATTGTGTTTGTAAAGTGAATTTATGGAATACTTTGGAATATCGTTTAATGTGGGTGTGGGAGTTTTTACAAATTTAGGAACCACTTTGATCGTGTTTAAATGTCTATAAAATTCTGAAGGGTTGGTTGTCATTGGTGGAGTCGGTAAAACGGATGTGCTTATAGTCGGTAAAATGGGAGCAATGGGTGTTATGTAATTCATGATATCCAAAATCGGCATTGTGAAAGTCTTATGAGTCGTCTTGTTACTGCCAGCTGTAAGGAATAATGTGGATGAATGTTACATGCTCATAATTCTTAATAAATTATGCAATATGAGTAATGTGATATCTTTTTTAACCATGAATATGATAATTATGAAATCCAACACCATTATTATTAATATGCGTCTTCAAACCGGGTAGTTACTCACCATGCGGTATACAACCCCATTGCTTGCAGCAGTCATCATCTGAAATGTTTACTGGTGCCGGTCGATGCATCGGAGGACAGCGCATCGTTTGCGGAGGGACAGGAGGTAACGGCGTACAAGTCTCTTGACATTCCAATTCCCCATTTTCACAGAAACATCTCTGTTCGCATCCGGTCAGCTCAATAGGTACTTCACTCCAGTTAGGGACACTGTAATTTCATATGACAATGAATAGGTATTGAAACAACATGTTTTTAGCCTATCAACACAATTTCGAGTGGGTAGTACTACTAAGTACTATTCTGTGTGTCGGTAATGTTTTCTCTATTTGCTATGTTAGTAGTATTATATCTAGTATGTCTACACACTGCAATTTATATAACAAAGATCCCAAAAAATATATATTAAGCCGTTGTACGTGCCCACGCCAAATAATGTTTGAGATAATTTTACTCACGGGACTCCTTTGTAGTGACAGGTGCCATTGCTGAGACAACGCGCAGTTCGAGGGCAGCAGTTAGGTGGTTGAGCAGGAGCCGGGGGTGCCCAGCGTACACAGCCCTTAGACACTAACTCAAGTCCCACATGCGCGGGGCACAGTAACGCTGCACATTCCTTCTGATCTTGCCCTGTACACTCGCAGAGCTCTGTACAACCGATACGGAATTCCTCACCTGGAAAAATATTCGTCATTGTCTATGTTAGAAAAGAATAAATATCACGTAGGGTACATTCTGATATCAAATAAAAAAATAATGCATTTTTACTTATACACGATATATTCATGACATTAAAAGCAAAAGATACATTCACAGCAGAAATATACAAAGAACGCTCAAACAACCGTATGCAGAGTATGATAGCCTTTTTGTCAAGAATTCTGGACTTCCCGATCCATTAGTGATTTTCATAAGACGTTTTGCTGTAGTTAGTTAGTTTTTTAGCTAAAAACTAGTCCAATATAAAATAGCAATAAGTCCAATAGGACTGTTCTGACATGTAATAAGATGAAAGTGTTTGCTGAAAACTAAAAAGTACAACGGTAGCTTCCTTTACGGAAGATGTTTTTTATAAAGCATTATCAAAATATGTGGCGAAGAGAAGGAGAGGAAAGAGAGAAATATGTAAAATAAACTCACCGACAGCGTAAAAAGTCCCATCGTGATAGCAACCAACCTTAGTTGCAACATTCGCATCTTCATCTGCCACTTCATTTGCTCCAGCGTCAGTTGCCGTAATAGTAAAGTTGAATTTAGTTCCAGTCTCTTTAGTTTTCAATATGTAGTCTTTACCACCTTCTAAATTCAATATTAGGTTGGAGTATTTGAGTTCTATGTCTTTGAATGTCTCTCCGTTGTCACTGCTTAGAAGAAGATGAATTGGATCTTCTGTGTTATTCATATGGATGAGGTTTACTTGGACAGTATTGTTTTGCAGGACTTTCACGGATCCGATTGGTTCAGTTAATACAAGGGGTCTAATTGGCATTTTAGATTGTGTGTCTGCATAATCCTCTGATGAGTTCGGGATCTGTTAAAATGAAATTATTAAATAATGAAAGAGTTAAATAGCTATCTAATTTAATAATTAGAACCAGGTTAATTTCATTTACTCAAACAACTTACAGTACCTATAATGTGAATTGCTGACAATATCGTGTTTTACACTAGCTACACCACAATACATTAATAAAGACGAGTTCTATGTACAAATCAAGCTAGCTAATCATTCTTTTTAGAGGTACCTTAAGTTGACTTTAACTTTTAATTAATGATGATTTAATTCTTACGAGCCAGTGTGTTAGGGAATACTGAAAGGGAAGACCTAGACGGGTGTACCACGACCAAAACGGGGACTTATAAAAGAAAGACTAGGTCAAGAGTACCCAAAAGGGGCTTTCTTGAATGAAAAGGTTAATGCGTGTGGAGAAGGCGAGAGAGGCATGTTAGAATCGTGCAGAATGGAAGGAAGTGGTCTCTACCTACCCCGCCAGGAAAAAGGCGTAATAATATAGATAGATAAATAATTCTTATGTTATGATTCGTGAATCGACTTGGAAAAGTTATGCTTTTGGTTTTCTACAACATTAAGAATAGGAACTGAAGCTTAGTAATAAGAAACATAACCTTAATATCATAAGACCTTGAAGTTCTGTCCTTTTTTCGTGTTTCAATATTATATCTATTTCTATCTATTTAAATAGCTATTTTCTCACCTCTGTAGTACTGGTTGAGCTTGTAGTGTTCTCCGGCTCTTCATGGACGTCCTGTGAAACATCACACACTTGCACCTCACAGCACACATCGCTGGGATCCTGGACATTGATACACTTATCTGAAGGTGTATGACGTTCGCATCTGAAACGTGAAATTATATTAAGACATCTTCTACTCCCGAAACTAATTCTTTGTTTTTAAAACTTGGCTTTTTCATCTCCAAGGAAATCAATTTATGTCAAGCATGAGTTTCTTACAATACCGTGTGTTAACCTAAAAAAATGTTTTTGCTTGATAATACGAAGCTAAACGGTCAAGCAACTAGATCTCTGAAATTGGCCCTTAAGAATATTTTAAGATAAACAATTCATTGTGCTAGCTGCTCTTAGTATGATCAAATTCTAAACTTTAGGTATTAGTTGCATTTCTATGTAACAATTAATTCATAAGTATGTTGGTCAGACTATCGACATTATAACTCAGAAATTTTCAAGTAGAGGGAAACCTATCCTTGGGCAGCTAAATGAACTCTTATTTCTAATTAGTCTAGCGATTCTTCAAAGTCTAAGTTCCGATAATTTATAATGATGGCTATACAATTTAATTAATTTATGAAATAAAATAAATAATTTGTTCGTCTGGTACTCTAATCACCTCGGCTTGCAGGTAACTATGGAATTCTTCTCACAGTTGCAAGTTTGTTCGCAACCGATATGCCATTGAGCTCCAACGGGATATGTGTCATTCCCATAACGACAAACTTCTAGCTTACTCGGTTTCGTATCTAAAACAAGGAATTGTGTGATTGTATTGCATATTATTTAGGTAATGCTATATTTTAACAATATTATTGATATAAGCATTTTAAAGTTCGTGTTATTCAATAATAAAAATTATTCTAAAGAAGAATGGCGAAATCGGACCCCACAATTTACAAAACCGTACATGGATGGCAATATGACAAATAAATAATATATGATTATTAGATTTTATTTCTACAAAATGGTGAATTTTAATGTCGGGGAAACAAACTAAAATGTTAAATGCTGCTAATAATAGGGATGATGACTGGGTAAAAAAAATGCAATTCTATTTAGTCCGTCAGTCAGATAATAGAAAAATATTAGATACGTATTTTTTTTTTACTTCAAATTAACAAGAAATAGCTTAGATAACAGGCATTAAAGTTGAGGAGTGGGGGCTCGCTACGTCACAGTTGAGTAGAAAACGTACTCTAACGTGACGTCATGCGAAATTTCAACCCAATGTAACGCCGTGATTTTATGATTACGAAAAAAATAAAAAAATACGTGTTTAATATTTTTTAACACCCTACCTGACGGACAAACAAACAAAAATTAGTCATCATCCCTATTATCAAGATAACAAAACGTCTGATGATAGTGCAAAAACAAAACGCGAAAATCTTTTTAAGAAACGTTCTGGTTTACGCAGAAGTACTTTAATAATAAAACTATACCTTGGAAGTGTTTCATGACTTTTGCCCTTGAAAAAGGTCATCTATTTTAATGGATATTATCGTTTCCTGTACATTGCAATTAATTTTATTACCTTTAAAGTACCATCAATACGCTTAATAATCGAATATAAAGTCAAAATAAAATTGTATAGAATTCATTCCGTTCTCTTTAATTGAAAACCACACAATATATCAAAGGGTTGTACTTTGGATGGTTTTTGAAAAATCGATCACATACATCAACGATGTCAGAAGCGATTCTTAATTAATCGCGAGTTTTTCAAACATGTTCACAGCATGTTTGGAGAGGAAACAGCCATATTTTATGCGTGGATACGTCTATGTATGAACGGATATATGAGTAATTGATAAAAAAATAAACAAATTGAAGACACTAAACACTAAATAAATTAGTATTCACTAGCGCCAACAGATGGCGTTAGTGCATATACTCCTGCTGACAGAATGCCCCTCCCCCTGCAGAGCAAGCATAGTTCACTTATACGCCAATAGATAGCGTTAGTGCATATACTCCTGCTCACAGAATGACCCCCCTGTAGAACGAAAACATAGACGTATCCACGTCAAAAAATTTAAAGCTAAGATACCACAACCGATTTAAGAAGATTACGAGGGTCAAACTGAAAGTTCTTAGAACTGGCCACTTATAAACAATATAATAAAAAAATAATTCTAAAATTTGAAAATATAACTCTTTGCCAATATTACTGAGTATATATTTCATTCATTTGTCATTTGTTTTACGATTTGGCGGCAAATTGAAAATTGTCTGTGTCACGTCATCATGAATTTAACACGAGAAAATTTTCGTGCAATGATTTTTTATGACTTTCGATGTCATTTAAGTCAACAAGAAAGTTATGATAGACTACGATTGGCCTTTCACGATGAAGCCCCATCTCGTGCGACTGTTTACAACTGGTTTAATGAGTTTAAACGTGGTCGCACTAATCTCACTGATGATTTACGTGAGGGACGGCCTTCTACGGCGACGACTGAAGATAACATCTGTGTTGTGCGGCGTATGATAGAGACTGACAAAAGAGTGACCTATCAACAGATTCGGACAAGCTTAGGCATCGGTATGAGTCAAGTGCACAAAATCCTCCACGAACATTTAGCGGTCAGGAAGCTTTGCGCCCGGTGGATACCTCATAATTTGACTGAGACTCAAAAACTCCATCGTGTGGATTGGTGTCGTAAAATGATTGAAAGATTTAACGGAGGTGACTCAAATGCTGTGTTCGACATACTAACAGGTGACGAAAGCTGGATTTACTGTTATGATCCTAAAACCAAAAGACAATCTGCTCAGTGGGTGTTTCCTTTCGAGGAGTTGCCAACTAAAGTGAAGAGAGATCGAAGTGCGGGAAAAAAAATGGTGGCCTCGTTCTTTGGAAGGATAGGTCATTTTGCAACAATTGTGTTAGAGGATCAAAAAACAGTTTCTGCAGAATGGTACACTACCAATTGTTTGCCACTTGTCTTGGAAAAAGTTCGAGAGAAACGACCTCGCAGTAGGATCCTCCTTCACCACGACAACGCCTCGTCGCACACCGCCAAGCGAACGATCGACTATTTGGCGACATCAAACGTTGAATTACTGGGTCACCCGCCGTATAGCCCCGACCTCGCGCCTTGTGATTTTTATTTATTTCCAAAAATTAAAGAAAAACTTAAAGGAAAGCGGTTTATGAATGCTGAAGAAGCGGTGGCTGCGTATCGCGATGCCATTGAAGAGACCCCTAAGGACGAGTGGGCAAAGTGCTTTTCCCAGTGGTTCCATCGCATGCAGCGGTGTATTGACGTGAATGGACAATATTTTGAAAAGATATAATAAAACTAATAACTGGCTAATGTAATCAGTTTTTGATTTTCTAAGAACTTTCAGTTTGACCCTCGTATTGCCAGTTCTGTAGTTGAACCGATGAAAGGTTAACGTATCGATTATTTTGTTCTAAATAATCGATTGGTTGATTTTATTTTGACATGTTTGTTTTCATCTATGAATGTTCTAAGATGATGATGGTGGAATGATAGCGGTTTGGTTTGTTTTTTGTGTGTTCGTTCGTGGAGTTTGATATTTATGTTAATATTCAACTTGACAATTAAGCATGTTTCTTCGACTAATGTTGATATTTGCATTACTTTTGGTTTCCGAATGGCAATTGATTCGGTTATAACAATGACAGTTCAATGTGTACATTGCCCTTGTTTGTCACTTTCAGTTATAATGATTTAATTAAAGGCAAAGGGATCTACTCCACACAGTTTAGTCATATGTTATAAATGTTTCTTCTATTATAAATGTCTGGATATTGTTAGATATGTAATTATTTTAATCTAGTTTATTAAACGGAGTAACCTGGTTACCATTTTTATTCATTTTAACGTCCATTCAACGAAAAAGCAAAGATGCAATATATAACCTCACAATGTATTTTATGCCATATCTCTTTAATCCCACCTTTTAAAGGAAAAAGACGACTAGGATTTTGTTAGTTTATACCTTCAAGTACACGTTTATTTCATTGATGAACGCGACTTTAAAAATTCAGGTCCAAAGCTATATGGGAGTTCGCCATTGTTCTTTTAAAACGAGAAGAACAAAAAAGTAGTGGCAAATCTAGCTCTTATTAAATGACTTGTTATCTCTTTACGATATGAGTATAAACAACGAAACTTTATAATTAAATAAGCTCTAGTTTAAGATAAATTCATCCGTTACTTGTTTGTAATCAATATCAATATTGTAGCTTTTTTAACCCCCGACGCAAAACTAATAATAAACACTCAGTTTGGATGCTGGTTATAAAATCAACCCTAAGAGTTTAAGTAAATTTGTTTTTTTTAGACTAATTAAAATAGACTGTAGATCTATTCCAAAAGCAAAAACTCCGAAAATATAAGCCTTTATCTTCCCACGCTGTAATCAGACGAACTATCATTTCCATATTAGTTCGCAAAAATAATGACAAAACTACAGCAGCTTGGTAACTACATTTTGTCAATAGATTTAGAGGGTCATGAGACAACTCCTGTCGTCAATGAAGATGCGTCTTTACCAACCTCCATTGCCCGTAGCACAGGCGATGATGGAGCAGCACTCATCCAGTGGCGATTCGAAGCACAAGGGGTCGTTGAGTCTTCTACCTCTACGAATGTAAGGGTGCTTGCAGCGAGGTGAACATTCAAACACGCCGCCTTGCATGCATTCACATGTCTCTTCACAGCCCCGATCAATTTTCTCACCAACCTTCGATTTGGAAAATAATATCTTTAGTCTGATACTTTCAACTATGATAATCGATAATGTCGTATATTCCATTCAATAAAAGTGGTTTTGAACCCCAACCGCTACCTGATCCTAATTATTTTAATAATTAATGTCACTTACTTTCATATTAGATAAAGTCATTGATATCGATAAAGTACTTAATTACTTCTTAATTTATAAGTATCTTAAAATTTTTTAAATAAATTAAATTTACATACCTTGTAAGTGACTTCATTTTCTTTACAAACATCAATTTCACTCGATCCTCTATCTATTCCTAATACCGGATGAAAAGGGGCTTCTAAGTTTGTGTAAAATTTATCAGATATATGTTTTGGCTTTGTATCAGGTATCATCTTGGGATCGTCGTCATCGTCACCATCTAGTGTTACATCACTTAGATCTGTAACTTTCTTTTGATTTTTATGATTCGTCTGATTATGCAGTGCGTTGGCGAATGTTTGTAAATCTTCTACGTTTAAATTGAGTAACCGAGGTTGAGGTTTGTGCACGTCTGTAACATCTTGTATTTCCTGAGTGGTTGTTTCAGGTCTATCTGTTTTTTTCTCCAATGTGATCTCTGTCGTTGGTGTGGGTCGTATTGGTGGGAATGTTGAGGTTGCAGTAACTGGAAATGTTTTCACATTATGTAATGATGACGAGCCTTTTGTGAGTAATTCGTCGTCTTCTGCAGTCAATTTACCTGTAAATGTAAAAAAAAAATACTTTAATTATACTTATATTTGAGCCAGGCTAAGCTCTGTTTTATCTCCTCGGGCTAACCCCAGACATACATTTAACAGAATACATCTTAGGTATATTATTAAAAAATAACAAATGAAGATTACAAAATCCATAAAGGTGAAATCACGTAGTTATTATCTTTTAATTGTCTTTCCAATAATAAATGTATAAAAAACCTACTACGTTGTTGCATTTTGCAGAAAAGAAAACATTTATTGAAAGCGGATATTCCATGTAGCGACAAAACATCGGTTACCATAACCAGCTTCCTTTGAAGTAGGCCAAGGTCAGTAGGTGAGATGACACGAGAACCGCTGACGTGCCGTTACTAGCCTTCTCTCTCAAATTTAACAACCAATCATCACGCTCCATAAATCTTTCTCATCAAAGCGATCAATGTCCCGAATCGATAGTCAATCAATAAAATTCTACAAGCGAAACAAGTGAACTTTTAAAATAACAATGCATATTGAACTTACAACTCTTCACCTTCAGGTTTATATTGTATTAGAAAGAGTAACTCTGTTTTGACATTCCTATAATTATATTGATCATCACGATTATAAAGACAACGCCATTGTTGTACGTGAGAAAGTATTTTCAAATTCGTGGTAATCAATAACAGATATTTTTGCTGCGTTGATGATTCCATTTATAATCAAAACTGTTTTGACATAGGTAGGTTCTGATATTAGAATTTCAACGGAACTAGTAGTATAAAAAACAAAAACCCACCAGCGTGAAAAACAACTAACTGAAAAGGCTGGTACAAGACAAAAAGTTTACACAACTATCAGTCGGAGGCATGCACAAATCCTTGTCTTATTATTCAATTTAATTATAATTTCATTTATGTCTTTTTAGTTAGATAAGCTAAGTTGGATAAAAAAATTTTTGAAGCATCGAATTACTTAATAGAACGTACTTCAGAGCTTTATTGTGGTCTTTTTTACACGGTTATAAAAAGAAAAAGACAATTACGCAACAATCCCGTACGCCTAGTATTCGTTTTCGAAAACTATCTTTGTTTTTCTTTCCATATATTTCACAACGGCACCGCTAGCGGAAACCATATTAAACTTAAATGGTAGTTATCGAATGGTTTTTGAGTAAACGGCAGTATGAGTTACAATTTTACCATCTAACTGCAATTAATTCTAACTGAGTACGAAAACTATCTTAGTTTGGTCACTCGATTAAAATTTTCATGTGAGAAAGAGGATTGTTCCCTTATGAAACACATAATTTTTATATATTTGATATTGAATTGTTTTTTTTTATGTTTAATTAAAAACATAATAGCAGACTAGAGCCAGTATCGGAAGAACTCTAGCCAATCTCAATACCATGTACTAATCGATTCACGAATTTTTTTTCACCTCATCTTTGTGACACTCTTGAGAACATAATTATTAGTATGGAGGAATAAAATGGTAAACATAGAAATTCACAGAGGCCATGCATGCCGATTGATTGCAATTAAAACAGATAAACATATAGAAATGACATAGTTCATTCTACTGGAGAACCCACGATTACGTGTACTTTGTCAACGAAGTGGTAACAAAATTAATTCATACTACTGATGACTTAGTAAGCCAATAATTTTAAGTTTAGTAAAAACGTACAAATTGTACGCCACTACATTATGTAAAGTAGGTCTTACTTTTTGCAAATCAAACTTCAGCAAAGATCAATGACGAAAACGCGAGTGGGTTTCTTAATTAGCGTAACTAATACAATTTCAAAATTTCTTATTTGTTTCCATATTGCATACACCTGCACTTATTATCTAATCAGTTGATTTCTGAAAAGGCTCTACACCAGACGTCAATTATATGAACTATCAATAAATAGTACACAAGGCCATCCACATACTTAAACTACACGTAAAGTCAAACATATTTTAAACTTTATGGTAATAATAGGTTAATTGATTGTAGCTTGGCTAATTCACAATAGTCTAGAGATACAATCAATTTGTTGGGACTTTATTCGTCTTTGATCTTTCAAAGTTATATTTTCTAATTATTTTGTTCACAACTTCTCTTGATGAGTAGCATACATCTAAGCTCTAATTTACAGCTTAAAATATTCAAGGGAATAAATAACATTATCAACATATTTTTACTCAAAATTTCACAATTTTCATCTCATTATGGTTTCTCGTAATAATTCCAATGCTTAACTATGTATCTATTTATACTTTTCGTATAAATTAACATAACACCTGAAGGCTTATTCTATTTTTGTGACAATGAAAGGATAGAGGTAGAATCTGACGCTGTCTCTGATGTACCGATAATCTTCACGGATTTGATTTTAACAAAATTATAAGAACGATTTAAAATTTTCCGAATTTTCTTTTGAGGACAAATAGAATAGACCCTCAGGGGGATTCGTACGAATTATAAATAATCAGATATAAAGAAAAATCTTTTTTTAATAAATCCTTTCTTCGAAAATCTAAGAAAGCTTTCCTCCTTCTTCCTTATAGAAAAATCTCCTTCCTTATAGACAGTCAAACTTATTTCTTTTAAACTAAGCCGATTTAGTTCCTAACTTGAAAGATAATTAATCATCGTGATTAGATGTTTGCAAGAAATACGTTAAAAGAAATGTTTAAAAGCTCACATACATAAAAACATGTGTCTAAAACATCCCGGTCAAATTATTTTTTAACACTTCTAAAAAGATGCACTTCCAAAACCAGATGAATTCATAAATAGGTAAAAAAAATATCTTCCTCCTCTTTTAAACCAATGTAGAAGATCTTAATTAGACCATTTAGATTCTAAATAAGTTTCTAGCTCTTAAATGTTACGTCATATTAACTTTGATATTCTAGTTTCAGCCTCCCAGTGACCTAGCAGAGGTGCATTATGTAGGTTGGGGCAAGGACAAGGCTTTTAACCGGTTCTAATATTGGATAACATTTAATAATGCTGATTTGTGTTAAGTATAATTTGATGATTCAAAATTATTTATTAGCTAATACTGTTTTTCTTAAATGGCACTAACTAATGACGCATTCTGTTCAGCTTTCATTTTTTTACTTGTCCGAAGTATATAACATGAAAAAAGATGAAAACTCTTTGTTGTTACTTACACAATGACTAATGATGCAACATTTATTTTCTCTTTGGTTACTACAAATTCAATTTTGGAATTGCTTTGTTAGCGCGTAAAAACTAAGTGAATGCTTATTCAAACGGCTGTTATCGGCTGTTCCCACAATTATTTCTTACAAATTCTTTGCCGATAAATGCAGATAATAAACTTAAATGATACCTCTTCGCATGAAACATAATACAATACAGTTTTAAATAAAACTTTTTTCATGTATTGATGAATTACCGCAAATTCGATCGAATGACAAATGCGAGAATTCATATTAAATAATACCATCACAATAAGTTATTATTATCATTAATGCTAAATATAAATGTGAGAATTTATTTATGCCTCTGAACAATTTTAAATCTATTTGTAAGTAAATGAACGAGAAAAAAATATTTCCGTATAGAAGTTAATACGTTGAATGTCCGTAAGTCGAGGTTGAGCATTCATGCAAGACTTATTGGTTTATACAGTTAAGTAATGTTAAATAAGGCGCGAAACACTCATCGTGAGCCCCAAACACGTAGTTTCGCGGAATGCTTATGCCGGTGAGTCGAAGCGGCTCTGGCACGTCCTCGTTATGCAACGTGTCATCCGGCTACCAATGACAGTGGGCTTACTTTGAAAACGAAAGACGATAAATCAGTCCATTTTCATGGTTCGGATTTCGTTTCGATGAAAAAACGATGACGTTGTGCTACTTTTATATCGTTTTTCAAGTTTGAGAATAAACCCTTTTTTACAAAAAACAAAAAAACAATTGTTTTCGTATTACCGTAATTCGCATTTGAGTAGGTCCCAAGCTGAGGTAGTCCAGATTTCAAAACAAACCGTGAAAACGCATTACGAATTTATTTGGATTGGTAGCTATGAATTCATGTACCCTTTTGGCTACTTGATTTAGGAATTATGTATATGGTGATAGACATTGATGAAGTTTTATATTCATTACAACAATATATAAACTTTGTTTAAAAGAACAATACACAAAAACTGAAGAGAAAATGTACCAATAAAATCAAACTATTTGATATGACTTTTGAATAATCGTTAAACATCAAACCTAATTTACAAACTGACTCACATATTTATACATTTTCAATTTAGAGCGAAGCTTCTTATTTTTTTCTTGACTAAATATTTAAAATACTTGACTAAAATAGTCCTCTTAAAATGGTCTAGTTTACAGATTATATATTTGTTCATTATTTTTTGTTTAAAATAAATTTGGTTTGCACCCTATAATCGTAGAAGGCGCACTCTAGGTCTCGACTAGTCCAAAAGATTTAAAAGCCAGGAATATCACCTTTTTGACGGCTTTTAACCGGACTTAAGGAAAGAAAAGAAGGAACTACTACAGTTTTGGCGGCTAGTCACAATAGATCTTTATGGTCGCAGTGACGTTCCATATGGAACTGCATAGCCCACTAAAATTACGAATAATCGAAACATATAAAAGGAGATGTCCTGACATACTGACAGACAGACTAAACCGCCGGTAGTTTCTGTGTATATGTCTGTTGCGCTCTGATGCCTCACCCACTAAACAGAGTTGACTTCAGGACATGGGATACAGGTAGAGTTGGGTTATATTTACTAGGTAAATATTATACTACATAGGTATACCTAGTATTATATAATACTAGATCCAAAAACCTAATCCAACTTATATTTTTTAGTTATTACAGTTGTCTAAATATAAAAACTTTACTCCGTTGTGTTAAAGTCGAATATATATTTGTTGATACTATAGTCACACACAAAATAAATAACATTTTCAATTTATTGACCAAACATGTTTCATATGTATCGAGGTCGACAATTTGTACCGAGACGTATTAATTAATATTTATACAAATCACCTACAAATGCCCTAAACATAAATTATTGATTTAAGCTGACTCACAAATTTTATTTAAATACATATTAAATGTATGATATATAAA